CTCTCAGTAAGAAGATAGAGAAAATTTAAAGAAGCAAGGTAATCCATGTAGTTTGGGACAAATTCTGGTTTTAACTCTATCTGGAATGATCAATGAAGAAACATAGTGATCCACTTGCATGTTCTCACTTGGTTTGACACAACTGAAATGGGCATCGTGGATGGAGCCACCATGCCACAGGAGGCTCTTCATGCTGAATTTTGGTTTCTCTTTTCTCTCTTCCTAGTCATCAATCGCTTCCTATTCTTGCGTTTTTCTTTGAGGAAACATATTTTTCTCTCTAGCCATTAGAGTCTTCAAATAATTGGGACAAAAGACAACATGAAATCCTTCAGATATGATCTGTTTCTCTCTATAACCTCTGGTTTAGAACTTTAGATCAGTGAGTCAGGCCAGTTCGCGCTGATTCAGTCACGTAAAGCCTAGAAAAAATCTGAGAAAAATGTCGATTTTTTGAAATTGAGGTAGGTGTAAAAGAGTTGATGATTGTAATATTTATTTTGATGAGGTTATTGAAACACATAAATGCTAAGATTCTAGCTCTTGTCAGAGTACTGTATATTTATTTTATAGTCTAAAATAGATGAAGTAAATATCAAAAATAGAGAGTTGAAGACGAGGCAGACCCATTTGTTAGGCAGATCACATATAGATAAACAGTTGGGCCAAATAAGGTAGGAGGATATAATGCATCAAAATCTCCTATGAAAAATTTGGGGGACTTAAAAGGCAGATCACATATAGATAAACAGTTGGGCCAAAATAAGGAAGGAGGATATAATGCATCAAAATCTCCTATGAAAATTTTGGGGGACTTAAAAGGAGAAGTACAAGGCGTTTCAAAAGTTTGTGATGCCAGGTGAAGAGGATAATACAGGAATTGTTTCCAATTTGAACAAGACAGACTATTGGGCCACAAAATATGGAATTTTTTAAGGGTAGAGGAGGGATTGATGATAGAGATACTAGTGTAAAGTTTGATTGCTATTTCCAAAAAAGGTTGCATGATCACAAGAGATATGGGGAAGGAAAGCGTAAGGGTTTATCATGATGAGCTTCCCAAGTATGAGGTTACCTTCAAAGATCTTGTTATATATCCTCATACCAGGAATGGTTTAATCCAAATTTTGCTGTGATATGTCTATTCCTAGTGATATAAATTTCTCTCTTAAGTGCTCTACCTCAAGAAAGAATTATTCCTTTGCTTCCTAAATTCGTTTCTAATGAGGGAGCCAGAAAGACTGCTTCTAATGAGGGAGCCAGAAAGACTGCTACCTTTCAGGCTAGTTGTGAAGGAGAAGATTAAAGATCCAAATAAGCCGAAGGTTCCTCCTGAGGAACAAGGGATTCCCACAATTGATCTTAAGCTTAATATTCTTGAGGAAACATAGCAAACTGCACTAATTCCAGTCACCATGCGACTGGGGTGGCAACTCCGAGAAGGTGGGAAGCAGGGGCAGAGCTCTGCTATGCCTATTGAGCAATAGAGACTTTGAACATTGTGCTTAATTGGAGGTCACTCTATTACAGAATGTATGTCACACCCCAAGTTTTATGACACTAACAATCCTGAGGTGTGACAATCTATTCTTAAAGTATAAATAGAACAAATTCGGAAATTCTACTATATATTGCATCAAAACTTATTTTTTTCCATTCAGAAATTTTCAAACTTGTACAAAGTCTACTCACAACTTATATTATCATGAAGGTTTATATATATACAATTTTGATAGAACAAAAGGTACAAAAACGAGTTTAATCATGATTACAAACTTCTTTCAAGCTACTCCTGCTGTACATACGAACAATAAGGCTGCAATTACTCTGAAAAGAATTCACAATAGTTTAGTTTGATGAGTTTGACTACTCAGCAAGTAACTATCATAATCATTAAAAATCATGGTTAGAAAATGTAAATATTTTCTAAAAGAATGCATATTGAAACAAGATAAAGAAGAGCATATAATTCAACTACATAAGTTAAAAGATTTCACAAATACCCTACTAGAGTCCGAAATAGGTCACCTATATACCCTACCAACATCTTGGATGGGTCCACATAATTCCTACCGATGTACCAGATAGGTCCACTCATATCTCATCAGCGTACCGGATGAGCCCACATAATCCCTACCGACGTACCGGGTAGGTCCACTTATATCTCACCGGCATACCGGACGAGTCCACTTAACCCCTAACTCCGTACCAAATAGTAAGTCCACTTAATCCCTACTGACATACTGGATAGGTCTACTTATATCTTACTGGAGTACCGAATGCGTCTACTTATTCCCTACCAGCATACCGGGTAAGTCCACTTGTATACTTAAAGTATCTTTGAAACTTTTTATCACTAAACATCAGGAAACAACAATATTGTATATTTAAAATATCCTTGAAATCAATAGCATGAATTCACATGAAGCAATTTATAGCAAACACTTTCACTGATATTTCTATAAATACCCAATCAAACATTTTGGACTCAATTTCTTAGAGATAGCAGTTATGAGAGACATTCTTAAAAATTGAAATCTAAGTTTCAGAAAGATAGCAGTTATGAGAGACATTCTTAAAAATTGAAATCTAACAAGCTAAGCAATCTACTGACAGTAGAAGAATTCTTATGGAAATTCAGAGTTGAATACTAAATTTTCAACTATCTAAAATCCTTAATAATAGTGGGAAATATTACAAGTTTATTAAATACAGAAATACCAGTTTTCCATTAAACTATTTTACAGGAAAATAATGTTACTTACACATAAAACTTACAGTATCTAAAATTCATATCGATAGAAGGAAATATTACAATTAAATGCAGAAATACTAGTTTTTAAATAATTATTTTACAGAAAAATAAGGCCACTTACACATAAACCTTATAGTATCTAAAATTCATAATGATATACGGTAATATTAAAATTAAATGCAAAAATATCAGTTTTCAAATATCTATTTTATAGGAAAATAATGTTACTTACTATTAAAACTTATACGCCACTTTGAGATGGATATGTTGCTACCGTTGCTAGAGTAAGACCAGGATCAATGGTGTTTAGCTAAGGTATGGGAAGACACCAAATGAGTTTATATGGGGAGAGGGAGCATAAAAAAATGGATGTATTACAAGAGAGAGACAGAGAAAAAAAAAAATTATATGAAGAAAAGAGAATTATTTTTATCGTAATGAGAACATTATGAGAGAGAAAACCTTTTATGAGATTCTTATGAGAGAGAAAGAAATATTATATGAGAGAAAAGAGTATAATTTTTATTATAGTGAGATCATTATGAGAAAGCGAGCATGAAGAGAGAGAAAAAAAATTGTTATGAGAGAGAGAAGGAGAACTTACATATGGGAAGAGAGAGAAAAGCCAACATGATAAGCTAATGATGAGCCCGTAAGGGGAGAAGGGTTTTTAAACGTGAGGGAGGACAATCCTTCATTTGACACATGTCAAATTATGTGTCCCTTTCTTTTTTTAACTCTTCACTTATATGTGCCACCTCATGACACATGATCATTTTATAATGCACATTATTACCTTATAATGCCACCTCACGACACATTATTTCCTTATAATGCCACATCATCCGTATGAGTGTATGAGTGTTACATGAGTGTTCAAATCATGTTATACCTACTTATCTCAATTAACTAATCTTTTTAATGTAAAAAAAGGGTGGAAATGAAAAGTTTAAAAAAAAATGGTCCCATGGTGAATTCTTAGCATAATGAACTATCACTCAAAATTATATGAGTATTTTATATTTTCATAATTATTTTATATTTTCATTATCATTATTATTATTATTATTATTATTATTTTATTATTATTATTATTTTATTATTATTATTATTATTTTTTCTTTTAGTTCCAAAAGTTTAGGGTCGTCACAATGTAGACAGGGTGGTGAAAAAAATATAATCCAATCCAATTCACCTAAGGTAGAGCAGAGGTTGTTCAAGATAACTTGGGGTCCCTTGAAGATTCAGAAAAAGAATATCCAGAGATTGTTTGAGGCAATGGGAGTGGGTCTGAACGAGCCTTTAACATAAGTAGTGGCACCGATAAAGAGGAATATAAAGAAATCGAAAGAAGAAGCTGATATAGGACGGAGAAGAACGTGAAGGCTCCTAGGAAAGTTGGTGCTAGGAAAGCAAACCAGCTAGGATAAATACATATAGTAAAGTTCCTAAGAGTAAAAAGGATCACAAAGATAAGGACAAGGAAGAGTCAGTTTCTGATGATTCTTTCAATTCCATGCCTGCTATTAGGGGCATGCATTACTCCTTGGTGTGGAGCCTCTTCTAGAGCCAAATGAAAATTATCCGTTGGAATATTAGGGGTATAGGGGATCTTAAGACAAGAAAGGAGGTTTTGCTGATACTACGAAAGGAAAAACCTGAAGTCTTTATTTTGCAGGAAATATAGATCCCAATACCAATTATCCAAACCAATGACACATATTTGGGGTGGAGGGTTTGTTGAATTTTTTGGAAAAGACGTGGTTGGTCGATCTGGTGGCTTCTGGATAGTGTGGAATCCAACATTGTTGAAGGGACTCAATTTTGTATGAGGGGAAAGATCACTATCAGTATTTTTTTGGGTCCTGTAAGCGAGTTTAAGTGGTTGCTGATTAATGAATATACTCCTAATATATCTTATTTAAGAAGAAATTTTTGGTTTGAAATTTCAGATGTGGTGGGTGAATGAATGTGGTCTACCATGGTGTGCTGGGGGGGTGATAAGGTGGCCTGAAAAGTCTACTTCCATGAATAAACGGAACACATGTATGAGGTCCTTGAGTGACTTTATTTTATATCACGACTTCATTGATGTTTCAATTTGACAATCCCCCAAAACATTTGTGAGATTATAATAAATATTATTCATCGTATCGGAATAACACTGTGTTAAGGGGCTTACGAGCCACAACAAATTCCAAAGTTCAAATCTCAGATTTCCCAGCCAAAATAATTATTGCAATAGTTTTGAAATATGCAATGTATTGTAATGGATCCCCACAATCTCTTTTTTCTCTTTGTATGTGTCTCTTTGTTTCATTTTTCCTTTATTCTCACAAAATTTCACATAATATGATGTCATATATACATTTTCCAAATGCATGCACAAGCACAGCATGCTATTGCACATGCATACATGCCGTCACATGTACATGCACACAAACTCCCCATAATCTAAGGATAGATGAGGATGTACCTCTTTAAGATGATCTATCTGTCACCATCCATGGCAAATTCTCTCCCCAATACTTCCTTATGAAGTCCACTACTTTAACCGGTAAGGCCTCATCTTCTGGATAATAAGCAATGGGATCTGAGAGCAAACGAAGAGGCAGGTTGAGAACACCTTCTAGTGTGGCATGAAGACAATATGCAGAGTATGTGCGGTGGTATCCCCCTTCTTGAACTATGAGTATCCGGCCCTTGGCATGCTTATCAGATAAATTCCGAATTATGCGACCAATTTCCCGGTAACCCTCCATTGTGAGACATTGTCTTCCATTTGGATCAAACTAGTGCAAAAAACAGAAAAACACAGTTAGGATTTGAAAAGTTCCAGATTTGAAGGAACATGCAGCTTCGATTGAAGCTTGGCCAAAATTATTCTATAAAAGGAAACTTTAATTGCAACAGGAAGAACATATGTATATGGATGTCTAGATGAAGTTTCAAGCCTTGAAGAAACTAAAGGCGAATATTGAGGTTGCTTTGGCCACAACATTTGAGGGGACAGTGATCAATGGGGTTGATATAGGCTTATCTACGAAGAATCAACAAGTAAACAACTCATGATTGATCGCTCAAGAGATTATGCAAATAAAAGAAACTCAAAAGAAAAATATGAGGTTTCAAAACAAATAAAGTAGTTCATGTTTTATGTAAGGTTTCAGCTTACAAGAAAGTAGCTTATTGATAAGTTCCCACGAAGAACTTTATTGACTAAATGAAGAACATACTTGTTCACACAAGAATGATAAGTCACAGTGACCAGTAAACACTCAACACCCTAAAATAATATCAATAGAAGTACAATAAATTTACATTACTAATGTATCCATCAGAAAACAAAAATAACAACTTATAACACCTCTTCCTTTAACCTGAGGCCATGACATCAATTAGATGCAATTTGGTTCTCAAAGTAACTTTTCCCTCTCTAGTAGCTCAAGTTAGGAGTTCATCATCATCATCATAATAATAATAATAATAATAAATATAATAATAATATTATTATTATTATTCCTATTATTATTATTAGTTGTAGTAGTAGATATATATTGAAGGCAAGAAAGCTCCAAAACAAAGAGGTTATCTGCATACTAATGTCACTCAAATAGAAAAGGCTAATTGAGGGCAATTTGTATGGTACTCAAATCGCCACAATGTAATGGGAGGAGTCCAATTCCAAAGCCAATCAGTAGAATTTCAAACAGCACAACCCGGCAGTATGCCTGAGCATTTGATATGGAAACCAATGATTAATGCACCAGAAAAAAGCCAACAAACGGATAATATCATCAAGAAAACTGAAGTTCATCCTCATGGACAAGCATTTAACATCCAGTGTGAGTACAACTTTCAACTGTTGTGCAATTTCTCATTCACCGGTAGCATGTGAAAACACACAACTCCTAGCTTGGTAGTCTTCAGATGCCACAGGAACAAGTTCTTTCACATGAAACCATGAAGCTCAATTGAGATTCAATTTTAAAAAATATTCTAATTATAAACTCTTACAAGTTACAACTGTCTATGCAAATGGAAAGAATGGGGCCATCAGTCACAGAACCCTCAACTCTTAAAACAACATGAAAACAGAGAGATGAACAAACTCAACAACATGAAAACAGAGAGATGAACAAACTCACCGCACTGGCATCTTGGCCAATAACAAGAACCACAACCTTAGGACCAAATTTATCGATAGCTGGAACAACCAACTTGGTCATTGCATATTCATATCCCTTATCTCCTGTTCCATTTGGTAATGGTATATTCAGATTAAAGCCACTTCCCTTGCCTTTCCCAATCTCATCAATTGAACCTTTTTGGGGATGTGATGGTCCCCATGACCCATGATTCATGTGTAGAGAGATGGAAAGGACATCACATGTATCATAAAACCCTTCAGCTGTACCATTGCCATAATGGACATCAATATCAACAACTGCAACTCTTTTGATACCAGAGTTTAAAGCCAGCTTAATTGCAAGCCCGGCATTGTTTAGAAAGCAATACCCATCCGCTTGAGAAGGCTGAGCATGATGGCCAGGTGGCCTCACTAACGCATATGCAATCTTTCCATTTCTGTTTAATATGTGTTCCATCGCTGAGATTGTAGTACCAGAGGCAAGAAGAGAAGCACCCCATGAACCCGGGTTCAAAACAGTACCAGCACAAAGTTGCTTGCCACCATTTTCATCAGCTTCGATAAGCTCCTTAATATAATCTGTCAATTGATGGATAACAACAATGTGCTTGATTTTCACTGATAAAACTATTTTTTTGGGCTTTTCCCAATGAAAGGCCAGGATATGAGTAAGGTATTTTAGTTCTAGTGAAACAACCATCATACTAATCCAAGTTTTAGTCCTGCTACTTTTGAATTAGTTGAACTAAATTTTAGTACCACACAAAGCCAGGTGATTGGATGACACAATCTTTAGTATTCACTAATAAAACTGCCTTGTCATGTTTTTTTATTTGGAAACATTTTATATAGAACCGAGGCTCCAAACAATCAAATTACAGCCCACCTCAAAAATTTCACTAGAAGAGGTTGTTTTGATGCCCAAATATCCTCAAATTGATCATCTTGACATTAAGATGCATGGACATGAGAAAAAGTGGATTTCAAGTTTTGGAAATGGTGCCTCTTGTAACGCATTTTTGGACGGTCAATTTTCAAGATTTTCAAGTTTTCATAGATATGCTCGATCTACACTAAGTTTGAACCTTTAAATTTTTACAATTAACTATGGAAATATATTTTAAGGCTCTCACAAAGATTTCCAGTATTGAAACCATATTTCTGGACACTATTACAAGGTGTGCTTTACTTTGAATGCTTAGAACGATCAGCTCTATACAAACCGCACCCTTTTTATTTTTAACCCCTAATGAAGGCTAAAATGTGAAAATATGCAATTTTTGTTCTACTGAAGCAGCAAACATTTCTAAATCTGAGTTTAAGCCCAGCTAAGTAGTAATGGTCTCTAGGCCTTTGTGGTCAGGGTGCTTGCCTAGAGTTCCATTCCTACCAAAGTCGAAGTTAACATTAAAAAGAAAACAATAATAATAATTTAAGCCCTGCTATGTTCTTATTACAAGTTTCATATCCTATGAATGCGTCCTGAATTCGTGCTCCACAGCAAAATTGAAAAAGCGCAATTCATCACAAGCCCACAAATTTCTAGTACCTTGATGGATAACACAATGCTTAGTTTTCACTTCAACACTAATTGTAACCTTTTTCTTTTTGGTTCCTTCAAAGAAAGGCTAAAACGACAATCCACCGGAAAAGCAGCCCCATTATTTTCTCAATAATAAAACAAAATTTAATATGACGCAAATGTTTCCTGTAAACTCAGGCTTCCATTTCTATCAAAAGAGCCAATTCAAGAACAATTATTTATTACCAAGAAATTTTGTGGCTCATTTATTGCAAGAAAACAAATGTAAGCAGCTGATTTTTTAGTGAGATATCTCTGCAAGAAGAAGATGATGATGATGAAGAAGAAGCAAGAGAAGTTTGCTAAGAAGAATTAGAGTTAGGGAAAACCTGGAGTATGAAATAAATATAACTCAGAAATTAGAGCTGGCCTTCCTAAATGCCATGAAATGTAAGGCGAAATAGGCCCCCTTTTGAGGATAGAAACCATATTTTTGACTCTATCTCCATTTTCAGGGTGCTTTTCAAGAACATCAAGAAAACCAGGGTCATGTAAAGTATCAAAGACCCCTTTTCCTGTGTCATGTTGTAGCATTCCAGGGTGCCAAAATACATGGAGAAGTTCATCTGTTTCAGATGAAGCCGAAGAAGAATCCATGAGCCAAAACCCTTAGGTGTTGCAGATGCATGAGAAGAGAGAAACCCTAAAATGATTTAGAAGTTGCGGAGGAAGGAAAACTCGAAGTGTAAGATTGTTGTAGAGTAGACATAAAGTTCAAAAAATAATAACCCTTTGAACTTGGTGAGTCCTCCAAGCCATCTAATTTTAGATCTAATAAATTGAAACGCATGCATAAAAGATAAAGAAGATTAATGATCTCTTCATAGACAATCTCAAAAATAATAATATGAAAAATATTTATACAAGTGTGAGGCTCTAAACCACCAAACTAAAGCACACCTCAAAATTTTCACTAATAGAGATTGTTTGGATGCTCAAAATCTTCAAATTGATCATCTCGACCTCAAATTGTATAAACATGAAAAAAAATAGATTTCAAGTTTTAGAAATAGTACATATTATAATGTATTTTTAGACAATCAATTCTCAAGATTTTCAAATGTTCATAGATCCGCTCGATCTATACTATTTTGAAGCTTTAAATTCAAATTTTATAATTAGAGATGAAAAATAATATTTTTTAATACTATTTGAAGGTGTGCCCTACCTTTATTGTTTAGAGCCTCGGCCTTATACAAACTATAACCAATTAATATTGCTCTCGAGTTTTATTTATTTTGTCTTTTTTTGTGTGTGCCTGAAAATACTGATAAATCCACCTATTACCCTTTTCTATAGTTGCTATCTATTAAAAGTTGCTCTACAAATTTTGTAGCTCTTGCATAAAAGAATGCATTATCCCAATACCACTAATGGTGAACTTACAAAAACGTGCTCTATACTGATTTGATACAAGAAACGCTCTCACATTGTTTATTGCAAATTAATTTAGGGTGAAATGTGTATAATGGGTGCAGTTTGTATAGAGCCTAGGCTCTAAATAATCAAATTAGAGCCTACCTTCAAATAGTATCGAGAAATATGGTT